CATTCATTACGAATAACTACTGCGTCCCGTTTATTTAATAATTCTATGGATGAAAAGCTGATCAGAGAACGTACGGGACATAGATCTAATGCGTTATTTAGCTATGAAAAAAATAGTGCTGCACAAGAAATGGAAGTTAGCAAACTTTTAGGGCCTTCACCTTTAGAAATGCCAAATTTTGAAATCTCAGATGATATGTTGAGCAATGTAGAAGATGAAGTATCAGATGAAGTATTGAGTAAAATTCCCATTCCAATGGAAAAACCTTTAGGATCTAATTCTTTTCTAGATTTGAGTAAAGCTGTCTTTAACAATTGTTCCATTCATTTCACTCAGAAATAAATTTATTGGTGTGCCTGGTGTGTTATTTATTGGCTCCTTATTTACTAGGTGTRCATGCAAATAAATGTTAGGTCCTTTATCCGGTAGGATGAGGTTTTATATAAAGATTCATCCTACCTGATAAAGGACCATTTTTTTAGTAATCAAGCATTGTTTTTCATTGTTTTCATTAATTAACCCCACATTTCCCTKAGACCGCAATCAAAACCCTCCCCGGGMTTTTAAGKTTGYTGGTTTTATCAGGGATAAAAGTATGTCCACGTGATGAAATGTAGTAACGTGGTTGGTCAATTAGTTTATTAATTATTCATGAGTTTTTGAAACAGAATATATCAACGTGTTATGAAGTTGTTAAAAATATGCCTGAACTTTTTCCACGTTTCTCCAATAGGCAATTTTTCAATGACTACTAATTGATAATTTGGCTCATAATCCAGTCTATAAAGTTAGTCAAACGAGTGTACACGCCATATTTTCCGTATCTACCACACCCATCTCCCCAGGACACCACGCCCATTAGCACGTGTCTCGTTGTAAAAGGTGTAGCAAGTTGAGGATTGTTGATGGAGAATGGGCCGCCAGAATCTCCTTGGCAAGCATCTCCTAACGAGCTATTTTTGTAACCAGCGCAGAACATGTTCGCTGTCACGATGTACCTTGGGCTATGAGATGCAATACATTGTTCTTGACTGACAACAGGTACATTGGCTTCATGTAGACGCCTAGCTGCATGTCTCAATTCTTTCCTGCTTCCCCAACCACTGATAACCCCTGTGTTATTAACACGAAGCAAGCCGTAGTCACTCTCGCTACTAGGAAGACAGATAGGTTGTATGTAGTCTGTGAAGATCACCTTTTTCGACGCACGTATCAAAGCAATATCAGAGTCGTAAGTAGGCCTATTAAAACCAGGGTACATTTTAATCGTATCAGCCACGATAGATTGCTCGCTACGTTCATTACGAGTGCGAACATGCTTACCAAAGCGAAGTTGAATGTCTGAAGGGAAAAGGCTTATTTCTGCAACAAAGACGAGAAGTTTTTAAAATAATAAGTATGATGAATGGTTACATCAACTAGTCTTTTTGTGTGTATTTGTGTTTGTTGTCCATACTTTTTTGTAAGTAATGACATAACTCGATGAGTCATTCRAGCTCTCCATTTGAGCTCTAGGGATAAATATCATAAAGTAAAAAAATTGGAAGTCTAGGAAGGACAGTCCGCTACATCAATTTGTTCCTCCACTTCCACGCTACTCTTTGACGGCGGGAATTATATCTCCAAGCATAGTTAGTAACTACTAACCAGGCAGCAAGGGTAGGGGCCCGGGCCTCCCCACTTTTTTGACAAAAAATAATATATAAATTTTTTCATTCCCAAAAGGAAATATGACGGAACAAATGGAACTTCTCATTTGGGCCCGTCACTTTTTTAAATGCTGCTACGGTCCCACTAACTATGCTCCAAGCACAACGAGAATATGATTGATAAACTTACTGGAAACACAGTGAGCAGCGGTAACCACCCATCGATCTGTAATGAGTGTTCCTCCACAAAAATGTTTATTTTGTTTGTTGTTCCACAGCATTACTTGCCATGGATGTGCACCACGATCAGCTCGACGACCACCAATAATCCGGGCACGTGTTTTATATCGTGGTCGGCCGCATTCTGAAAGAAATAAAACATGGAAGTTATGTGAAAAATGAGAAGAGAATGATCGAAGACAGATCGGTAAAAACCATAGTCGATCGCCAATTTATTTAATGATCCTCACCTTTGAGTTTTACTGTTCCACGAACTCGTAAGTGAGCCTTGGCGCTTACTTTTCCCGCTTCGTTTTCCGCGATGCACTCATAAACACCTTGATCATCAAAATGAACATYCAGGAATACTAAATGGCCTTTTTTACCCACAAAATAATCAACGCTTTTCGATGGATTTAGTGGGGATCCATTTTTATTCCATTTGACTTGAATGGGTTTTCCTTGGACCGACGCAGAGCACTTCATCACAAGAGAATCTCCGTCGTTCATCGTCTGGTTCACTGGGAATGCGGTCAAGACAGGMGGTACTGYRATRATAAGACGTGATTAGTGAAGGAAAAACCGCAARCAAGAATCGAGTAACTGTGTTTGATAAKGTAAGTGTTCTATAAAAGTAGTTTTATTATTTACAAACCTTTRCATAAAGTGTCCTTTTTGTCCCATTTTCCTGATTTCAGACATGTTGATCTCGAAGGGCCAATCATGGTGTATCCAGGGCGACACGTAAAGATAACTGTACTTCCGGTGGAGTAATGACCAGAAGGGTCTGGGGATGGGTGTCGTCCACCTTTGTCAGGGATTCCTGGGTCCATACATTTTTTGCCTGAAAAAATATAGAATAAGGTAGAAAAATGTCTAATTACACAACAATATTACTGCCCATTTTAAGACGCATCTTTCTAATGTGTGCCCAGTGAATCGTGATGGTGATACAATCACTCAAGTCACGGTAAGTATTCGCAAGTTTGCGCATCACCATACTTACCTTTGGTAAAGAAGACAAACATCCCTTTTGGATTCCTTAATCCAGTGAATGATATTCGATAGTCTTTCCCTGTTCTTTTATCGATACTTTGCAGGCTTGCGGCTTCCCAATCAGTCCAAAACAACCTTGATAATGATTTACTCAATGTTAGCAATATGCATCAAATAACATGATACGTTTGCTGTTTGCCTACAATGGACATTTATTCTATTTCTGAACGTGCGAGTCGTAAGGCTAATGTGAATTCTTTACAAGAAAAAGCTACAATTACAGCAATACTTACCTTTTGTTTAATATTGCCAGTGAAAATGGATGCTTTACAACAGTATCATCGGCAAGCAAGCGTCGATTCCCTCCCTAAAATAAYGAACTGTAAGAATACTGCGCAAGTCTGATGTACTATACTAATAACTCCAACCAAACTTTTACCTCAAGGTCACTAGTTTCTATCTTATCCAATTTCGCGTCCGCCCAGTAAAGTACAGAATTTTCCTCATCAATGACTAAACCATTAGGCCATACTAGTCCCCCTTTGATTATGGTCTTCCTTTGTGTCCCATCCAGTGCTGCTCGTTCTATCTTGGCCGTTTTGCCCCAGTCAGTCCAGTATATTTGCCTTAATACAAAGAGCTTATTTAATAACTTAGAAAATATAGTTAAACACTATTGTTTTACGTTAGTTTTASGAGTTTTGAAAATCTGGTAGTTGGTTATAGTAGGTTTACTCACCCTCTGGTTTTGTGYAGAATAATAGCACGTGGTTCGTCCAGCCCAGTATCGACTATGGTTTGTTTAGCTGATCCATCCAGCAATGCTTTCTCTATTTTATTWAACCCTGTATCAGTCCAGTAGATTTGTCGGCCTTCGACATCGATGCACAGTCCATCCGGTRCTTTTGCAAATCTATCGAATAGTAACAAGTAAGGATTTCGATTCTATCGGTCGTCAGTAGCCTCCTCCACAGATATCACTAAGGGTCACGGGCTTCCTGTCTTTTTTTGGAGCCAGAAGAGGGAGAATAGGGGTGAGAGAGGGAAGGCGCGTGATGCCAACTCCTCTTTCTCGTCAYTAGTCCCTTACGGTCAAGATGACCGATACAGGAGGAGGAGAAAATGGGAATTGCATGACAATGGGCATGGATTGGATATATTAACCCATCAACATTACATTACATTACTTTATAAAACAAATGTTCGTCACTCACGATACAATAGTTTCTTCTCCTGAACCATCCATGTACGCACGTTTAATAACACCACGATTTACATCGCTCCAATAAACTCTCTTATCTTGTGAATCATAGCCCACAGCAACTATCGTTACACCCTGAGTAAAMGGCATTCGTTCGATGCTGGCTTTACGCTGCTTTTGGTTCTCCGTAGCACGCCATATAACACCCTCGCTTGCTATTAACGCCGTAAACTCTGGAAGATTGTCTGAAGAAAGGACGCACAAACAAATATGAAGGACTATTCAAGAATTCACTTTGGTGACCACGGATCGAATCTCAATGAAGAACATATTTTTAAACAAATCGACCTATTTGTATKATGTTTTTAACAGTTTATTAACTTACYATTATGCCTGTCCKTGCATGTTTTCTTGTCTTGTTGAAGATCCATGTTGCTGGGACAACTACATGACCGATCGCGTCCGCCATTAATATCGGTACATGTGTGACTGCAGTTTCCGTTATTTACTGAACAACGGTCTATAGTTCAATTCAACAGTCAATATGGTTTCTACTGATTAGTAAAATTAATATCATATCGTACGATATACCTGAAACCGTTGATACACATTTATTTTCTTGAACACATTTCTGATTGGCTTGACATGCAGGCGAACGACACGAGTGTGACGATGACTCAATGAAATGTCTGCCTATCAAACGTATTTCTCGGCCAAAGTCTTCTTGCCATACAACAAAGCCTTGTCTTGTCACGCTATTCGAGACTACGACAGGATTTTTTTGAACACCTTTGGTTAGTTTGAAGTTTCCTTTCATCAAATAGCCTCCAATATTCCACGAGAATTGACTTCGTTCTTGCCATAAAAGGTAATGCCCTCCAGTTGTTTCCAGKGGCAACGGTACAGGGGTTTTTACTTCTAAGCCGGTTGTGGAACATCTGTACTTGGTAGGATTCCATATAAAGATTTGTCGAGTCATTATATATGAACTAGAAGCGATTGTATTTTTGCCTTTGTTCATATCCTCCCAAAAGAGAACCAGTCTACAAATTATAAGATAAAGTGAGTCAGTTTTCAATGATTCTCTTCCGTTTTTCCCTTTACTTCCAGTTTCTTCCCTTCCTTCTTACAAAAYAACAAAGTCAAAGAAAGTGTGAATGGGGGTACCCAAAAGTCAGTTAACTATTAACCCGATTGACACCCTCAAAGAAAACGACCACGTACCTGTCTGTCTTCTCGTTGTAATATCCWTCATGTCTTGTATAGCGTTTTGACGAGTACCCAACCAACGTTTTTGTACCTGGAGGAGAGCTTGCAGCGTGTCCTCCAYTAGCATCCATTTTCGTCATTAACAGCAAGAAAGGGTATTGTTTTAACTATATAAAATRGAATTGGCAGTCAATAATCAACGGCAGTATTCGAGCTTAATCTTCTTCAAGTTTCGTTAACCAAAGAGGCCTGAGTGCTCTTTTAAAAGTCCTGCACATTATTTGGGATTACTACAACTTACCATATAGGTAAGCAGTGTTGGGGAAACTTGAAAAAAGAATGAATTTAAACGAATAAGACTCACCTTAAAGTCAGCGTTAGCACCTCTTTTTTCAASTKYACATGTAAAGTAAAACTCGGCTCGCTTTGTATCATGAAACAAGTTGTGTTCGTATGCAGACGTCTTAAAGCTACAAACTTGTTTTGATGTAACTGTCTGTCCAACGTTATCGAGAAATAACGCTACAATATCTTTACTTGGTTTATCAGCAATCAAAGAAGCCACGTATCCACCTAGTGTGTAAAGGATATTAAATGGCAGCACGAGACATAAACGTGCGCGTGAAATAAACGTTCGTCTTCTGTTTATATATAGAAATACTCAATATGACGTGTTATTCATGTACCAACCAGTAGACGATTGGATGTTAGAACAAAGCAACTTGTGAAAAGCCATTCTGATCATGGTTGGCACATTATGATAATAAAAACATTGAGTATCGCTATAGCCAAACACAGGCAACGAATTTTAACAACTACAAAAAAACAAAAAACAAACAAACAAACAAAAAACGAAAAAAGATTTATATCGCACTCCTGGATAGCAGCAGTAATATTACGATAGGATAATGTTATTTATTGTTGATGTCATACCAGTTTTAGGATTGTAAAGGAGCTTAGGTTTTTTTGCATCAATGTTCCCGTCAAACCTTGCCACAATTGCTGGTGAAGCTGACCTCTCAGTCTTTGTAGCAAATAACCGCTGACCAATGATTATGTAATTGCTACCAAAATGACGTAGCGATCGTAAATGAAATATTACCAGATATTCATTACTGGATGGATTAWAYGCTGCTGACGGCCACCCTTGATCACCTAATTATCACAAATASAAAAARAAGTCAAATWAGGAACAAACAGACCAGTATGTTGTCTTGGTAAGGACGCCATTTTGTACAGCAAAGCATGATGGGAAATATAGTCCGTTTTCACTGYATATCAGGATATATTTCCATGTTTAACTGACCTCCTATCCAACCTGGTAGAGTAGCAGTGATATTTAACACTGTCTTGTCTACAATACGTGCAGCTTGGTTCAATCGTAGAGCATAAATATGGTCAGCTATACCATCATAGTTGGCATCCCAGTCAAAAGCCACAAAATACTCGTTTCGCTTATCGTTGAATACCACRCTRTGATGCATGGCACGACCACGTAACATGGATGGGATCATCAAAAACGGTTTGCCWTTCTTCKCAAAGGCCCCAATGAACTTCGCCTGTACAACGATAAGGATAAAGTACAAAGTTGAATAAGTTTTGAGTCAATAGTGATGTTTAGTACTTTGTAATATTTCACTGATCAATGAAATGAAATAATAAGATAATATCAATGATTATTAGAATCTTGATCACAACCATTTTAATCATGACGTTTCTCCCACACCGCATAGAAAATACAGCCAATCAGAGAGCAGAAAGCCGACGACTTAGTTCAACTTTTATTTGCCATGGAATAAAATATTTATGTAAGGGTGCCTTACGGTGGAATATCTTACTAGAATTGTACATGAACACGAGTATTTCTTGCCTTAACAACGGTGACACTCTTGTCTTCTTTTCCTTTTCCATCTACAATAGTCACAGCATAAAACCAGTCTACCATGCCAGTAGGCCAGCKGTCCACCCACTCACTTGTCTCGGTATGACGTARTTTAGGGTCTGTTAAACCGGAAGCGTGTGGAGTCATCCCCGTGACGTCTTTAAAGAATACATTACTACGGTAGACATTGTAGTGCTTGAACTCTGAATGATTGTATGGATAATTGGGGCTTGAAAAATGAACATAGACTTAGTAGCTGTATAAACGTCATGATTTCTGTTCGCTTTATGCAGGGCAGTGGTATGCAGGGCAGTGGTATGCAGTGCAGTGGTATGCAGTGGTATGCAGGGCAGTGGTATGCAGTGGTATGCAGTGCAGTGGTATGCAGGGCAGTGGTATGCAGTGCCTACCTGTATGGTAATCCTGATGGTAGCCATTCTAATGTAATTCCGTCACAGGTCTGGCTGGCCGAGAGGCCCTGTACCCCCATACCACCAATGCTCCTTCGCTTGCGGTGGGATTGAGCTGCTCCAGCTAAGAAATCATCTTGAAAACTGAAATCTTCGTGGATGCTATCATAATGGTAGTCTAGAAAAAGATTTAGATTGTATGGTTAAATAAGAAAAGTGACGTAGTACCTGGTGAAATGTTGTTTTTGCAAATAATTTTTGGAAAACAAACAAATAGTTTACTATCGATATTTTCATTTCGCTTGTTTCTGTTATGACGTTTATTGTTCATTCATCGATTCTTGTCAGTTTTCGGGGTGGTGGAGGGAAGGGGGGAGGYKATTGTCAAGAGGGAGAAGTGTTTGGAAGTAGTATAGCCGGTACATTTATTACCATCACGGAGAACAGCTCCATCATATGGTATAYCACCATGGAAGCCATCAATCACACGAACGTCGACACTTGCTTTACCTACAAAACAGATATCAATTCTTACAGTTATCTATAGATGCTATCATAACGAACCCTACAGCATCACATCCTTTTTGGGATTACTGTGCGGTACCGACATTTTATAGGGTCATATATCTGAGTCTGCTTACTTAGGTCTTGCCTACTTCTAGTGCCAGCACTTTTCATGCTCTTATAGGGCCAGACAGTACCTAAATGATAATATCAGGAACAACTACGCACTCGGAAAACGTCCATCCTTAACATCCCCACAACATACAACAAAGAGAAAAGCTACTGGCTAGTATCCAACTGAACGTTATGTCTTACTAGCAATTTAGCAATCTACTACGTCAACCGATTTAGTACACAGGTATTAAAACTTACTTGTAGTGAATACAAAACAAAGCACTATCAAAACGCGGCAAAGAACTGCCATTCTTGTCCGTCTTTGGTAAAACTGAACCAATGCCTAAGTGTGTTGTGATGAAAATGTTCGATTTATGATATATWTGATATCAAATTTCATAAAGATATGAYATCGCGCATTGTTCAATGTGATATTTGACCCATATTGAGGTAAATCCCCGTCCGTTTTCGCTGAGACCAAACAAATCCTTTGGAAGCACTGAATTCAATTAAATTGATATCATAATTAAGAGCGGAAAAAAACAATTTGTAAGAGAGTAAATACTATCTGGATATCAAGCATTTCGTTGTGAGCAATAAACGGTATATTACCTGTGTGCTATAACGCTCTGAAACTATAAGGTGGTCTTCCTGTGTTGTCAAAAGGTCAATCGTGTTCCTGGTTACTTATCACTTCCGTTTTCTCCTTCCCATTCTCCTATTGCAGAAAAATGGCGGGATCATGTCGGTAGCCTCCTTCCCAGGCAACTCTTTTTATTTCTCCTCCGGGCTTCCTTTGTAATGCTTATTGCGCGCCTCTCCTCTCGCTCCCATTCTCCCTCTTTTGGGTCCCAGCTAAAAGACAGGAAGCCCTGGTCATGCACTACCATTCAAAAAAGGTACTAGTGCACAATCTGATATAGCCAGGTGTTTTGTGGTAACCAGGTA